TCCTGCCACCCTAGCAGTTCAAAAGCACGTCAAAGTGCAAGTAGATAAATAGGTACTACTCTGGCGGGAGGGTAAACGGCATTTCCATGCACTGCTCTGGTTCGCCAGAAGCGGCTTAGTCCTGCTGGCCGCATGACCCGGAAGCTGTACGCCGGCTCCCTCGGCCAGTAAAGCGAGATGAGCGCCGCCACCCCAGAGTCAGTCACAACTGGACCTAATGGTCAGGGGTCCCTTTACCTTTTTAGGCACATTTTGCAACTGGCTATCGGACACCTGCAACCAAGTGAAGATGCCCGGTTGCCATCCTGACATCTCCACAATCTGTGAATCCTTAGATCTGAACTGTTTCTACACACTAGCAACATCTCCTCTGTCATATTTTATCTGCACAATCAGAACGGATTTCAGGAACCAAAAAGCCATACGACTTTCGAGCCTTCAGATCCCAAAATGGCAAATGGGCGTTCTGTTTCGGTGGCCGCCCCCCTGGTTTAAGGAGCCACTTGGGGCCTCGATTATATACCCAAGTTTCTAACACTTCATGTAATGAGATGTTTCAGGTGCCCGGCTTCAGATATCCGCCAAGCTACCCGCTGGCCGCACCCTGCTCCTCTCAGTTGACTGGTAGAGCATGAGACTCTTAACCTCGGGGTCGTGGGTTCGAGCCCCACGTCGGGTGAAAGATTTCTGCGTGGCAAGGGGGTGGACTGGATGACCCCACTGGTCCCTTCCAAGTCTACAAGTCTGTAATTCCATGGCAATCTTTGAACAAGAAATAATGGTTTCACCGAAACGAGCAAGTGCTCCTAAAAGCAGTGGCACCCTCCAGATGTTCTGGACCGCGACTCCCATGAGCCTCAGCTAGCATGTAGTAATAATAATAATAATAATAATAATAATAATAATAATAATTTATTTATACCCCACCCATCTGGCTGAGTTTCCCCAGCCACTCTGGGCGGCTTCCAATCAAGTGTTAAAAACAGTACAGCATTAAGTATTAAAAACTTCCCTAAACAGGGCTGCCTTCAGATGTCTTCTAAAAGTCAGATAGTTGCTTATTTCCTTGACATCTGGTGGGAGGGAGTTCCACAGGGTGGGTGCCACCACCGAGAAGGCCCTCTGCCTGGTTCCCTGTAACCTCACTTCTCGCAATGAGGGAACCGCCAGAAGACCCTCGGCGTTGGACCTCAGTGTCCGGGCTGAACGATGGGGGTGGAGACGCTCCTTCAGGTATACTGGGCCTTTGAGGCCATTTAGGGCTTTCAAGGTCAGCACTGACACTTTGAATTGTGCTCGGAAACGTACTGGGAGCCAATGCAGGTCTTTCAAGAAAGGTGTTATGTTGTCTCCCAGTCACCAGTCTAGCTGCCGCATTCTGGGGGCTGATAGTCTCCAGGGCAAACCGGTATGAAAGAGGCTCCCCCCAAGAACAGGCGGGAACGAGATGCACATTTGGGGTGGGGTGCGATGTGTGGGGAGGGCAAACTCCGGCAGGCAGGAGGGAAGTGGGGCCAGAGTGCAATCTCGACTCTGAGACGGAAGCCATTTTGAGCCGGAAAGCGCACAGCCCTGAATCACTATTGATTTCCAGGGACATTCAAAGCGCAAGGCATCTCTCGCCAGAATCATTTCCCAACCAGGTCCCTTAGGAGAGGACGACAACAACCATGAAAGCCAGCAGGCGGAAGCCATTTTCCCCTCCCAAATCTCTCTTTAAAAGGGGTGGGGAACCCACCCTGTGTCCACACGCTGTAGCTTTAAAGCACATTCTTTCCCTCAAAGAATTCTGGATACTATAGTTTTCCCCTGACAGGGTTATAATTCTCAATGGCCCCTGAAACCACAGAGCCCAGAATTGTTTGAGGGACAGAAAGCAGATTCAAATGCGCTTTAAAGATATCGTGGTTCAATTCTGCCCCTCGTTTATAGAATATTTCATCGCCGCCTTCAGCACTTCCTCCTTCTAAACCCCCTGCTCTGCTTGTCGGCTATAGACACAGTTTATGCCGGATTCAGAATCTCTGCATATATTATATAATAAAATTATAGAGTTGGGAAAGACCCCGACAGTCATCTAGAGTGCAACACTCTGCAATGCTGGAATCTCAGCTAAAGCATCCATGACAGATGGCCATTCAACCTCATGAGTTTAATATATATTATATATTCCATGCCCTCCGAAATCTGGACTTAAAAACCCTTGCTCTGTCTTCTGTAGGGTGTTCAGCACAGAAGGAAAGCCTCTCCCACCCAGCCTGTTTTAAATTGTAAGCGCCTCGAGGGCAGAGACCTCTCTAGTTTCGCCTATCAAACTCCGAAAGGCAGCCATGGATACGGACCATAAAATAAATTCCCCCTTTCCTGCTCCACCTATCTCTTTTATTTTTAAAAACAAGGTCAAAGAGACCTGGGAGGGCCGTGAAGCGGCAGGTGGTGACAAGAGAGCTGGCCTTTTGTCATTCTTCACCCGAAAGGTGTGGCTTGAGAGAGAGAAAAAACCCAGAAAAGTGACCCAACCAGTCCAAGTGGTTTCAGGAAAGGAATTTCGGCAGAAAAGGAGGAAATAAGCGAAGGGGAGAGTTTTGAAGTGGGTGGGTGGGTTTTTTAAAAGAAGAAGTGAAAGCGACGGATTTGGAAAAAGAGGGCACACAGAAGAAGGAGAAAAGGAAGAAGAATATTTAGTGTTGGTGTTTCTAACACACAATTTTTTTTATTTAAAAAAAACAAGATGTGGCGATCTCCACCCTCTTTCTGTTTGGAGAAGGAGGGGTGGATCATTGTGGCCCAGTTGTCTAAACAGAGATTTAACAACTTCTTCCCCCTCGATAGCTTCCTTTTCCCCTGCCCGCCCATAATTCAGTTTGTACTGCATTTAATCCCGGTTTAAGACGATTCATAGTCCCACGGGGCTTAACAGGGCTGTAAGATCAGGTAAGGCTGAAAATCCGTCCCTTCCACTATACAGCTGGGAAAGACACACCAGTTACTAATTTAGGGATTCCAAGGTATAAACCGGAGGATTTGGCTGGAAGCGGGGATAACAAAAATGTGTCTCCCGTAAACACAATGTTATAAATACAAAACTGGCCTTCTGGGTGTTCCTTGCTTTTCTAATCTTTACTATACGTTGGGGGGAAAAAAGGAAAAATAAAGTTTTGGGGTCTTAAAGGACCACTGTTTATTGGCCATATAAAAGGCTTGATTTGAACCCGGATCTTGGGCCCAAGAACCATTTTGAATGTGAAAGGAGAGATCAATCAGTTCCTGTTTGTCAAACACAACTAATCGACAGGATTAGAGAAAGGGCATTTCAGAAGATGAGCAAATAGATTTCCTTTTGTCTCCTAAAAGCCTGTAAAACCCAGTCCACCTCGCCACCCAAATATCCGAATTGAAGGGAGGAATTTAAAGGAGGGTGCTTTTCTCGCTGTCTGTCTGTCTGTCTCCCTCCTTGGGGATTGGGGGCTGTTTCTTTTGCCCACCCCTCACCCCAAATCTTCCTTTCGCAACAACTAAACAGAAAGACAAGCAGAAAGGTCTGGACTGGAGAAAATTCAGGCTGCAAACAGAGAACATTTGCAAAGGAAGATGTGGGCAGGGACCCCAAAGGGCGAAAGGAGATGCTTGGGGGTTTTGTGGCTGGGAGGGGGCCACAACCCACACTCCAAATCTCTAAAGAAAGGGAGGGAGGGAAGTTTCCAGACAAGGCCAAAATTATTTCTGTGTGTTCCTTGCGGGGAGCGTTCCTGGCCTGGGTTGGGGCTCCCTGTTCCCTGAAGTGTGGGATGGGGAAGACGACAGTTTGAGTTAATCAGTAGCCAAGGGGGCGAAAGGGCAACGAAGAATCGAGCAGGTAAAGGGCCTTTTTTTTCCCTTTTCTTTTTTTGCAGGAAGAAAATGGACGCCTGCTGCTCCCGATCTCTCCCCTCCAAGCACCGAATTCAACTTCCCAAACTGCAAACCGCCCTGAGAGCTTGCGACGATGGGCAGGATATAAGAATAAAACACCTTCAAGGTTTGGGGAGTGGCCCCAAAATGCAATTTTGTGGAGAGCTTAGTCTGTTGCCCCAAAGACTTTCTTCCTCAACCTGGGTCACCCCAACTTGACCCCCCTGCCCCACCCTCCTTCCTGCCCTTCAAACCCCACTGCAAACTGCCCCTCCTTTTCTGCCAAAGGCCAAACACGCCCCACACCTGACCCACAACGGCGCCCTTCCCGCTCATCTCACAACCTTGCGCTTTCCTTGTGGTTAAGAAAGCCCCACATTCCCCAAAAACGTATCCATTCCCATCAACTGCTCCTTGCCCCCACAAGCTATCCCCCTCCCCAAAAAACCCCCCATCTCCCCATAACTGGAATTTACAAACTCCTCTTTTCATGGTGTGACCCACATCCCCCCCAAAAAACACTCCCTTCCTGACACACACCCCAAGAAAAAACACCACCTGGGTCTCTCTCCGCCCCAGTCTCGGCCCCCAATTTCCTTTTGCTAACCCTCCTACTCGTAAGCAAGCCGTTTTTCACCACGGTTTTCCATTTGAACGCCGCAAGACCCTCCCCGGGACCTCAGGGCGAAGGGCGGGTAATACAGAAATAACCAAACCAGCGTTGCGCAAGGATTAGAGCGCCGGATCTGGGTTCGAATTCCGATCACTAGGCACGAAGTGGGGGGCGATGACCTGGTGCGGGGGGGGGCGATGACCGGGGGGGGCACCGCCCTATCTCAGCCTCACCTCCTTCACAGGGGGGGGCTGTGGCGAGGATGAAATGGGGAGCAGAACTGCGCGCACCGCTTGGCGCGCCTTGGATAGAAAAGCGCATCAGGACAGAAGGGGGAATATTATCTCCTCCTTTACTATGTAATAAATAGATTTATTTTCCCCCGTTCTGAACAAGGTCCTGCTCTGAAGTGGAGGGCAGGACCCTCCAGCTTCTCCCTTTCCACCACCCCCCGCTCCCCCCCCCAAAAAGTAATGTAGTCCGCCTGGCTACTCACAGTCGAGGCTGAGGATGGAGTCGTAGTTCTTGCATTGCATCTGGCCCGTGCTCTGATACACGCACTCCATCCAGAGGCCCCTGTAGAAGGCTTGCGCGGTGATGATGTTCGCCCCGGAGAAGGAGGACATTTGCCACTGGGGCATACAGGTGGCCGCCAGCGCGGCGATCCAGCCCAGCAGCGACAACGCGAAGCCCAGCAGCTGCAAGCCCGAGTTGGCCATGGCGCAGGGGGGAGAGAGAGATGGAGACGCGCGAGTGGAAGCCCGAGGAATCCGGCGGGAGCGAGCGGCTAAAAGCGTACCTGCGCGCCAGGTGAGCGCACCTGTATTTATGCCCTAGCCGCCACCTCCTCCCCCTCCCCCTCCCCCTCCCCTCCTCCTCCGGGTGGGGGAGGGGCGCGTGACATCAGGGAAGGGGGAGGGGTGTCCGCAGAAACCGACACCCAAGGCCACCCTCGCCCATTTCCTGGAGAGAGAGACAGAGAGAAACTTTTCCCTTCCTGAAAAAAAAAATAGTTTTTGTTGTCTTGTGCAACAAAACAAGGCAAGCAAACAAAAGTACACATCGCGTCACCACTTTCAATTCATAAGTCATTTTCAAGGCTGGTTTGCATCCAGTCTCTTTCTCTCTCACCTGCCTGAGTTGGGGCGCAGGCAGGAATCCGTCAGGTAAAGCCACCACGTCGTCGTCCCCATTGCAGTTTTTGCCACACACACCTCCTCAAATAGACATTCGGATGTGCACCCCTGAGGAAGATCAGCACTGAGAGCAACATGCAAAGTGCTCACTATTTTGACTTTCTGAGTTGCAGCGCAGGTAGAAATCCAACAGGTGAAGCAGCAGCCTTGCCAACAACAGAATCACTCGCAGATGCAGTTCTCATCCATGGGATTTTATTTATTCTTAAATGCTTACAGAGGTTGTCAGTAAGAAAGGTCCGTCAGTGAGAACTTCTTTGACCTGGAAAAACAGAAGACACAACCTCCCGCTGTGTGGTAGAAGAAAGACAGTGTGGTGTAGTGGTTAGTGGGTCAGACTTGGACCTGGGAGACTCCATGGAAGCTCCATGCAGACCCCTCCTCAGAACTGTTTTTCCTCAATGCCAGTTTCCAAGGTAACAGAAAGTTTATGGAAAATAATCATTTTCAGGGGGTTCGCGGACCTCCAGTAGCCCATCCCTTAGACCAGGGGTCAGCAACCTTTTTCAGCCATGGGCCGGTCCACCAGACCTTGTGGGGGGGCCGGACTATATTTTTTGGGGGAAATGAACAAATTCCTATGTCCCACAAATAACCCAGAGATGCATTTTAAATAAAAGGACACATTCTACTCATGTAAAAATGGACTCATGATTCCTGGACCGTCCGCAGGCTGGATTGAGAAGGCGATTGGGCCGGATCTGGCCCCCGGGACTTAGATAGCCTACTCCTGCCTTAGACCCACGTAGGGGTCCACAGACCCAAACATCAAAGATGGGTGAACAGGAAATCATTAGTACTGTAGAACAGGATGATAATTACGGAGTGTTAAAATGTGAAGAAGGCTGATCACCGAAGAATTGATGCTTTTGAATTCTGGTGCTGGAGGAGACTCTTGGAGAGTCCCATGGACTGCAAGAAGATCAAACTTCTCCATTCTGAAGGAAATCAGCCCTGAGTGCTCACTGGAAGGACAGATCCTCAAGCTGAGGCTCCAAGACTTTGGCCTCCTCATGAGAAGAGAAGACTCCCTGGAAAAGACCCTGATGTTGGGAAAGATGGAGGGCACAAGGAGAAGGGGACGACGGAGGATGAGATGGTGGGACAGTGTTCTCGAAGCTACAAACATGAGTCTGACCAAACTGCGGGAGGCAGTGGAAGACAGGAGGGCCTGGCGTGCTCTGGTCCAGGGGGTCACGAAGAGTCGGACACGACTAAACGACTAAACAACAACAACAAAAAATGTGATTTTGAATCTTGAAACCAAATAAAGCATTAATATATGTATACAATAAGCTTTGCCCTCCAATCGCCCTTCGACACCCAGTCTTAACAAGGGAACTTGCAGTGCAGGGTAATAATAATAATTTATTATTTGTACCCTGCCCATCTGACTGGGTGTATAATGAGAACAGAGTGTGCATCTGAGCATGCACAGAGTGTGTTTCTCTGCAGGTGCTGCTGGCTTGCTTAAGACAAAACCGTCAGTTGTGGTTGTGCTTTCACGAGAGCCGTGTGGGGAAGCACTTTGGACAACTAGCAGTGAGTCACGTTTATAAGGACACTCTTGTCAGCTCATGACGACGAGACCGGATTTGAAACCAGCCTTTCGACTGGTCGCACGGACTTACTTTAAAAGAAAAACCATGCATTCCGGGGCTGAGTCAGCTGTCACCGAAAGCAGGTTCTCTAACGTTACTGGATATTTCTGGTGATACCCAGGAAGCTGAATTGTCAAAAGAACTGGTCTTGTATATGATGCCGGCAGCTCAAATAATAATAATTGCAACTCAGTGAGGAAAGCATCCAAAATATTACACCGGACGTTGGGTACCGCTCGCTCTGGAACAGAGCTGTAAGGAAGAATATGAGGCATAATTTGAGATTTCAGCTAGAGCCTCCAGACACCTTTTGCATGATTTGTCATTCTTTTATTACTTAGACAACGGAACCGTCGTTTTCGAGGCAAGCCTGGGGAAATCTGGGACGAGACCTGACAATCAGATAATACTGACATTCTTTATTTGGACTTCAACTGTATTTTAGTTTTAATAATAATAATTTATTATTTATACCCCGCCCATCTGGCTGGGTTTCCCCAGCCACTCTGGGCGGCTTCCAACAGAACGCTAAAATACAACCTATTAAACATTAAAAGCTTCCCTCAACAGAGCTGTCTTCTAAAAGTTTGGTAGTTATTTTTCTCGTTGACATCTGATGGTTTTGCTTTTCACCTTTTAATTTTCGCCCGTGGCCATAACTTTTCTCTCTTTTCACAGAATCGTAGAATTGGAAGGGACCCCCCAAAAAACAAACGAGCCCAAAAGCAGGTTATGTGTGTTAACTGGTGGCAACAGGCCCTCTTCGTATGCTCAGAGTTCCTCTCGCTTAGCGGTGCCTCCTTGTAGCTGCCTCTGCTAGCCACAGGAATGCTCTCCCATAAAAAGGCAATTTTCAGGCGCACAGGTCCTCCAGAATCACACCCAAGTTTCCATGCGCATTCTGCCAGGTCATCCTGTGTGCCGTTGTTGTCGGCCATAAATCTTTGCCTCTCAGCGATGCATACAGAGAGCACCTGCTGGTCCCTTGCCCAGTCTTGCCCGTATATGGGCAAACCTTCCTGCCGCTCCCTGCGTCGCAGGCCAGGAGCAGAAGAGGCGCTGCAAAACATCATCATCATCTCTGCTCAGAGGCACGCCCTCTCTGACTCCCTAGTAAGCTTCTAGATATCCAAAGTAACTTTATGGCTGAATTTATGCCCCAGGCGAAACTGGCAGCAGGTCACGCCAAGCCGATGTTTCAACTGAGAAGCAGGCGAGGAAATAGTGTAAACTAGCAAACGCAACCCAGTCAGAGGGGTGGGGTATAACCAGTGCCGTATTTACGTACAGTGGTACCTCGAGTTACAGACGCTTCAGGTTATAGACTCTGCTAACCCAGAAATAGTACCTCGGGTTAAGAACTCTGTTTGGTTGCATTATTTTCAGGTAAATGAAATGTTCAAAAAGGATTGTAAAGAGAGTGGATATGCAGAAAAAGAATCGAAATTTCAAACAGAGATAATTGATAGTGATTATAAGACATTGTCAAAAATGTATAAAATGTGGTTGGAGTGGCAAACGATGGATGAGGAAGTAAAGTCGGTGATGATACATTGGGCCAAAGATTTTGGATATAATATACAATTGGATGACTGGGGAAAAGTATGGAATGTAAATATAAAATTTACAGCATGTACTGCGTTAAAAGAGAACATTATGAAAATGGTAGATGGTATATTACACCGGTTAAATTAGCAAAAATGTATAAGACATGCAATAAGTGTTGGAAATGTAAAGAAAAAGAAGGAACTTTTTTTCATATGTGGTGGGAGTGTAAAAAAGTAAAAGGTTTCTGGGAAATGATATACAATGAATTGAAGAAGATGTTGAAATATACATTTGTAAAGAAACCAGAAGCCTTTCTGTTAGGAATAATAGGAAGTGAAATAAACAGAAGGGACAATAAGCTCTTTCAATACGCAGTAACAGCAGCAAGAATATTAATGGCCCAAAAATGGAAACAGGAAGAAATACCGACTCTTGAAGAATGGAGAATGAAACTTATGGACTATGCTGAACTGGACAAACTAACTGGGAAGATTAGATATCAACGGGACCACTAGTTCATCGAGGACTGGGGGAAATTTACAGAATATCTGAAAAGTATATGTGATGAACAAACAATGCTAGTGGGATTTAAAGAGGCTTTGTGAAAGGTAGAGGAATATTGTTAAACAGAAAGAGGATTGTAAAAGTAATATTAAAATGCAATTTTAAATTTAGAAAATGTGTAAAAATGGGAAAATATGGATGATTGACAGAGAAGCTGATGGAAGTGGAAAAATTGAAATTTGTGAAAATTGTTTGATATTGGAATTGATATAATGAAAATTTTAAATATATATATATATATATATATTTGCTTTCGTAGATTTTCACGGGTACAGGAATGCAGGTTTTGGTGTCCTCGGGTGTCTTCCCGTGTAAAAGTTGGGGTGTCTAGGCGACGTTTCGACGAGGTCTCACTCGTCATCTTCAGGCTGGTGCTTTCGGCTTCTTGTTACTGGAACAGAGCAGGATCTCAGTGTTTGAGTTCCTATAAATACTGTTGAGGGGGTGTGGTGTATAGCCTCCAATGTTCTGGGCAGAGAGGAAGTTCCCAGGCTAGTGTGCCTTTTCTTCTTTTGTTCCTTAATTACTTGAGGGATATCTTGAGTGATTTCTTGAGTGATATTCTGAGTACCACTTAGGTGGGTCATTAGGTGTGGATAGTTGCTCAAGCCTTCGTGTCTTGACCTCTTGAACTTTGTGAAGAGTTTTTCTGAGAAGATGGCTGTACTGCACTTAGTTGTGCTCTGGCTTGGCTTCGGGTATAGGGGCGAGCTGTGGTTTTGTGCCCTGTGCCAGCCAGATCTGTGTAGGGATTGCAGGGGGGTGCAGCATCCGGAGGTGCCACCATGGTTTGGCTACTGGATGGTGTCTGTAATTTATCTGTGGAGAGGGTCTGGGTTTGGGTCTGGTGTGGTTGATGCTGCACCCCCCTGCAATCCCTACACAGATCTGGCTGGCACAGGGCACAAAACCACAGC